CGTTTTTGAGGCTTAAAAACGCACAAATCTGAAACCAAGAGTGGAAAAGTTGAATACACTTCGCCGTAGCGTTTCAATCTACGCTGCCCGAGACGCAAAATTCTGGTCAGATCTGCTCACGTCGAGCATGCGTTTACGTCACATACATAAACGAACATGTCGGATGGCACGGAATCGAACTCCACACACTTTCGCGTCACCGTATGCGCTCAGATTTCCTCCAGAAAACACTCGTCTAAACCCGGAATAAAAAGTGAAGACGCGACGCCACTTTTGCGTCTTCTGTTCATCATATAAACGTAGCCATTTCTGTCCTGCAAATGTGGCTTCTTTGGTATCTAGTCTTAGTAGCGATAAGTGTCAGATTTTCAATACTACAAAAGTGAATAAATCAATGCAACTGTAAAATCAGTCTGTGTCATTTTTTTACTTCGTATCAGAGGGGACAGACTGGCATTATATAAGAAACGCAATAAGTGTTCCTTTTATTTCATTGCAAAAGTTTCATTAAAATTGTTATAATGCAGTAGGTGTGTTAGAAATCTGACAAACCACCCTGCTCAGAGAACATTTGACTCAAATTGAGCAGAGGCTACGTGCCAATAAGCGAACCATGATGACAAAGTGTGATTTCGCTGTAAGTCCCGGCTCCCCGTCCCGCCCTCGAGAGCGCTTTTAAAAGGGGCGCAGAGAGAAAACAGGTGATTTATTTGAAAACGTCTGTCAAAGAATATGATGTCATGCTTTCCAAGGACAACTCCAGACGGCACCCAAGGCCGTAACCTGGAATCGCTAATAAAACTTTTCTTTCTTCTTTTCACACAAACGCCTGTCGGATTGGTTTGTTTGTCATCGGGGGAAAGTTGAGCGCACGGTGTCCCAAGCCAGGACACTTTCTTACGGTTTCACCTGAACTAGAGACATCTGTTTTAGCGTGGCACATGAAACTGATTTTGAAACACGTGGTTTGTTGATGTTTATTTTGGTATGGGGTTTGAAGGCTGGGGGGATATGAGAATGTAAAACGTCTCACTTTTCTACAAACAGGTTCTAGGTCTTTCAAAATTACCTGAACAAACGTAAGTTTCTGCCAAAATATGATTTACAGTAGTGTGATTTTCTTCCATAAACTTCCATTATAACGAAACCTAAAATATCAGCTATCTTTGAGGGAAAAATGCTTCAGTTTTTGGGGCACTGTGTAACTTTTCTGCTGGAAGGTCAGTCTTACTTACTTACTTACTTGTCTCCAGAGAAATGTTTATGCTTTGCCAAAAACGCTCCGCTAATAAAACTTTCCTTTCTTCTTCTCCTCACACAAACGCCCCTCGCATTGCTTTGTTTGTCATCTGCCATTAGGGAGACACTGTCCGCCCCTCTCGCTCTCCAAACCTGCCTCCTAAACCTGTGTCAGAACATGGGAGCAGATCAGTGAAAGGAGGGTGTCAAGGGAGAGGTGGGGCGCGAACTTATCTCAGGCCCAAGTTATGCGCTGAGGTATCACTGTAGACACTTAGGCACCGCGGAAGAGAAAAAAAACTCTGGGAAACACAGCGCCCGCAAGATTGGGAAAGAGACTCCCAAACGCTCTAATGAACTTGACTTGCTCGGCGAAATATGTCAGCCACTTTATCACACGAGAAGCATATTATCTGGGATTGCTACATAGTTGAATTACAGACATTATGGCACCGCGGGTCTTTATCAAATAAACAATTACCGTATGCAACGACAGCTTGTTTATCCTTTATCTTGATTTATTTACCGAAGTGTCTCTCCTCCTCGCGCCCCTCCTCTTAAACACCCAACCAGAACTGTTATTTGGGAGAATGTTGATCCCCGCTAAGTTTTTTTTTTTCCATCGCTAATAAATGTGCAATTTTCCCCCATATTAAAATTTAAGACTGCAGAATGTTCCCCGCTTTTCGCCACTGTGCACAGCTAGTTCATTAGCAGAAATGAATAGCAAAGGGCAGCTCATTTAAATAGACTGTCTTACATGACTTCTCGCCGTACTCTGTTCCTGTCACATGCTTCCAAGAATCATTGACTCTTATTATACATGTAAATGGCTATCATAAAAATAAAAATTTCATTTAAGATTGTTAATGACTTTTTGCAGCAGTCTGGCTTCCTTTAATGATTATACCCTGCCCCTAATTAAAAGTATTTATCTTTCAAGCATCCGTGACTGCAGCGGAGGCAGTCAGAGGCACGCCACACAATAAAGAGCTGCTTTGACAAACAGCAGGATCGGTCCCTATGGTATGGAGCTACACTTTTTAGTCTATACTTTGAATCAGTTTCACCTTAAAATTACATAAAAAAAGTCAATACTCTTCATACCAACTTGGGGAGCAATACGTGTCAAATAAAATCCTAAAAAACGACCTCAGGTTTCATTAAGATACAGAAGAAAAGATAACTGATTTGGCCTATGCAGTGATCAGGAAATTGCAGGGTTGTAATGCAAAGTTCAAGAACAGGAGAGTAGAAATATGAACATAACTCTTCAAATAAACTTACATCTAACCTTTTTTGCTATTCATGCCATTCAAATCAGACTATTAAGCTACATAAGAATACATACACATAATAGAGAAATTCCAGTGTTGCAACGCAAAGTTCAAGAACAGGAAAACGGAAATACACAAGAAAAAATGAACATGAACAACTGTTAAAATAAACTTACATCTAACCATTTTTCTATTCATACCATTCAAATAAGACTTTATGAAGATACATAAGAATTGTCCTATAATGGAGAAATTCCAGTGTTGCAATGCAAAGTTCAAGAACAAGAGTAGAAATACGCAAGCAAAAATTAACTCTTAAAATAAACTTACATCTAACCATTTTGCAAAACCATTCAAATTTGACTTTATTAATATACATAAGGACTGTCCTGTAATAGAGAAATTCCAGTGCTGCAACGCAAAGTTCAACAACAGGAGAGTAGAAATACGCAAAAATGAACAAAAATGAACATAAAAGCAAAAATGAACATAAATAACTACTAAAATAAACTTACATCTAACCATTTTGCAAAACCATTCAAGTCAAACTTTATTAAGATGCATAAGAATTGTCCTATAGAGAAATTCCAGTGTTGCAACGCAAAGTTCAAGAACAGGAGAGTAGAAATACGCACACAAAAAATAACATAACTATTAAAATAAACTTACATCTAACCATTTTGCTATTTATGCTATTCAAATCAGACTTTATTAAGACACATAACAATTGTCCTATAATAGAGAAATTCCAGTGTTGCAACGCAAAGTTCAAGAACAGTAGAGTAGAATTAAGCAAGCAAAAATGAACATAAACAACTATTAAAATAAACTTACGTCTAACCATTTTACAAAACCTTTCAAATGGGACTATGAAGATACATAAGAATTGTCCTATAATGGAGAAATTCCAGTGTTGCAATACAAAGACTAGAAATATTAAATCGAAAACTATTAAAATACACTTACATCTAACAGATTCAGAAATGGATAAAGATATAATGAGCTACAGTATCCGCTTCTTTTGAGAGTTCTCGCTTTATTATGATTGGTTAAACCCGCCTGTCACTCTCTCAGACTGACCAATCAGAGAAGCAGGAAGGGTACAATAGACAACATCTGGAGCCTATGTTTGAGCATTAGAAAATATAATGACCTCACAATACAAGATAATACCGCTAGAGCCACTACGTCCCTCACTTCAAACATACCAGAATGAACATTAGAACTACCCACTCCACTGCATTTACTTTGGACAACTCCACTGGCACATCTCTCAAATATGTGTTTTCCTTTCTGTACTTTGCAACAGTAAAACATTTTCTCTTATTTTCCGAGGTTATACATAAATGTAAATAGTTTGTGTTGTCTGGCTCAGGGTGGGACTTTGTGTAAGCGTCAACCAAATGCTCGCAAAGAAACTGTTTACGGCGTTCGGCGGGGCTCCTCCGGCAGACCTGGCTACAGCCGTGTTTGCCCAGAGCTCGCCGGGGTTTGTCTAAGCGCGCGCGGGCACCAGATGGGAGGGGCTTACCGTCGCAGAACAAGCATCGGAGCCAAGTTGAGCACACAGCATCCCAAGCCCGCGCCAAGCCTGGACACTTTCTGACTGACAGTTTCACCTGAACTGGAGACATCTGTTTAAGTGTGGTACATGGAACTGCGAGTGATTTTTGAAATATGTGGTCTGTTGGTGGTTATTTTGGTATGCGGATTGAGGGTTAGGGGATGTGAAAAAGGAAGATGTCCCGCTTTTCAACAGACAGGTGCTAAGTCTATCAATTTGACGTGAATAAAACAAAAAAAAGCAATTTACGATGGTGTGATTTTCCTCAAAAACTTCCATTATAATGAAAACCGCTATGTAACTTTTCTGATAGAAGGTCAGCCAACTATCTGTCTCCATAAAACTGTTTATCCTTTGCCAAGAATGTTCCACAGCATGACATTGAACACGTGACCTCACCAGGCTAGGCTACAGGTCAGCTCTGTGGAGAGGTGTCCCTGCTCACACTAAGAATGCATGTAATTTTGAGTGGGAAAAAAAAAAAAGAAAAACAACACAATTTCTGACCCTTAACTGAAAAAAAACACAACAGTGCACCCTGAAGTACAGATGTAGCATAATTTGTGAACAAATTTGTCCATTTTTAGAGGTCTCTGGGTGGGAGTTTCTATTATTATGGGGTGTTTTGATTCTTTAGTTCACCTGTACATGCAAGTCTTAAAAAAAGAGGAGAGAATCCTGGAAGACTTCTCGCAGCAAATATATAGTCATTTGCTTTTCCTTACTTTTCAGAATAGCTTAACTTGGAACTAATCTTTGGATGTACTTTCCGTCATTCGGAGCAACAGATTGAAGATTTGCTTTCACAAACATTTATTGGACGCTAAATTAATCTTGCACTTAGTATTTGCTGTGCCATCCAACTTATAGCCAAGAAGTTTTCCAAAACACAAACTCTTAAGTAGATCAGCACAACTCACCGGCGCCATCTACAGACGCGCTCAGCATGTCATTGTCGGGCCAGATGTGCTCCACGCCGCTGTCCCTCATGTCGTCATCGTCCTCCTCTTTACCCAGCATGCCGTGGCTCTCGACCCGCGGAGACGCCTCGGGGTTGGTCAGGCTGCCGGGGCTGCCAGTGCCGTTCAGCAGGGGGTCTTCCTCGGATACCGGAAGCTTGTCATCCTCCTCCGAGTCTGAGCCGGTCTCTACCACGTTCTCATAGTTCAGTGCTGGAGAGAGAGATAAAAAAAATGGGAGTTTAGTCTGGATCTCTGTGGAAATGGTCATTTTACAACAGGCGGCTTTATGCAACCGCAAACGATCATAATTCACATACACATTATAAGAAATGACATACAAGTATTCCCAAGGCTGACAGTTAGGCGTCATCCTATAAGCAGTTTGCAGTTACATCTTTTTAATGCACATGAAGTGGTTCAACGTGAGAGTTAAATGACAGAGAATTCTGACAAAAATATGGCCATGTTGTTTTGGAAATTGTGGTTTATTCCCAGATTAAAAAGGTCACCCCACATCACTGCGCGCTCCAAGGCGTGGGTGCGTTTTTTTGTGGGTTACACCCCAATTACAGCATCCACTCCTGGAATCTGCGCCGAGCCTGGCGGTCGGCAGACAGCTGGAGGGAGATGCGGCCAAAATAGCCACTAATTTTCAGTGGTGCTCACATGCCTGGGATACCAACGAGCTGCACCTTTCAGGAGGGCCCAGCTCCAAGCATAGCCGTCACGTTTGAGATGCTCCACATAGCACGTACAATATTACAAATGTGATTGCTATGCATACAAAAGGCTTAACCTATAGTCATTTGGATTATTCATCACATGTAGCATCTTACATTTGCCTTGTTGCTGAACCGTGAACATAAATGTCTTTTTCTCAACATAAGAGACATGACAGAAACCTGATGCGCGCACACAGTCTCACACACACAACATTAGCAGGCCCCACAACACTCAGGTCCCACACATATGCCCGCGCTGCCCAAAATAGACGCCTGTAAATAAGGCTGTGAACTCAATCAAAGGTGGCCGCGTGTAAATGAGTCCACCATGGGCAGGTTGTCGGTGTGGACTGCGCACGGTGTAAATCGTGGCATAAAAGGACGTCACAAGACTTATTGGTGGAGCGCAGATGGAGCGGCGGGCGAGCCAGGAACATGGCATCGCTCTGGGACACACCTCATTGGCAGCACGTCCAAGAATGTTCTGTGGTGGAGCCAATCACGAGGAGGCTCGTAGTGAAGAGGTGGAGGCTGTTTTTATGTGAATTTATGTCTCACAGCCATAAAAAGGCTACAGCCAGCTCATAAGTCAGCAGTCTTTAGTAAAATCAACAGATTTATATCTAATAGCTCTGCGATGGCGTGTCCCCTTTATATTTGAACATAAATACAAACAGAATATGCAAAATGCCTTCTAGTGTGACCATTCCACACACACATATTTCACCAGAGAAGGCCTCTGCACTTGAACTTTTTCAGAATCAAGAGGCAGATAAAGTCCATACATGACATTTGTGCTCACGTTCTACATATGAAAAATAAGCTGCACCCATCTCCTCCCAACACGTCTGGAGCGACTGACCGGTCCGCACTTGCCTTCAGCCAACAACTGCACAACAGGTGCAAATTAAAATGAAAACAGGGCTTTCAGACGTGGGAGGAGAGGTAGGGGGGAGTGTGGGGGCTGGGGGTCGCGTAGACAAGAGGGGGAGTGCGTGAGCGCGCTGACCTGCCTCGAATACCAATCGACGGAGGAAACAAAACCTTTTCAAGAGGTGTGATCACAAGGGTTTAGGCAAGTTCAGACTTAGTAATGCTCCTTAGAGATGACAAAAAGGCAGCGCAGGCTGGAGACCACGGCTGGAATGAGACGTTAAAGATTCCTGGGTGGTCCGCTCCACTCACACCTTCATCATGTTCTGACGTTCTCGGAGCTCATACACATCCGACTATGTTAGCACCTGTCTAACACTTCACAATTGCCTGGACATTTTACAGCCCTGGCAGATTAATTTTCCTTATAAGTAATAAGCACGTCATAATTTAGGAATTCCCCTTTGTGCCCTATCACCCCCAGGTTCGGAATCTCTCATAGCTGCGCTCCGTCATGTCTGTGCCCCCTAACTTAACAGGGAGGGGGCCACAGGAACAAAGGGCCCGAGGCTTGGGAAGCGATCAGCCCTTTCCCTGTGAACCTGATCTCTGGATGCAAACTCAATGATGGCGGAGCGGGGGCTACTGAATAAAATTATCTAAGCCTGGACAGGTTCTAAAGAGCCATTCTTCCCCCCGTAAAGGACAGAGGGAGCTTCTTTTTGTTTTGCAACATGTGGCACTGTGCGGCGCATTACCAAGTTACCTCATCTACAAACTTTAAAGCATCCTTTCCCCACTCTATACTCTCCCGTTTCTTGTCCGCAACTTTGTGAACAAATCTGAGTGCGGGGGCGTCGGAGCTGTCTTCTGAAAGCTCCAGTCGCAGCCATGTTAGTTTTCTTCCCAAACGTCAACTGTCTCCTCCGCACTCCGTCGCATACCTCCAAGAAGGCGAAATGACAGTGGGGTGCTTGTCAAGTCGCAGCATTAACGTCAAGAAGCGGCCATTGTTTAGGTGCCAGGGCTGACAAGAGCCTCTCCCTCTCCGAACGTCAAGCATCTTTCGGTATTGTGCCACGCAACAAAGTAATTCTAACCTACTAATATTTCTCAGGCAGTTATTTTGTCCCCCAAAGCCCGCTCCTAATCAGCCTTTTGTGCGGCACAGGATTGAGGAAGACAAAAGATATTGTTTACTTCACAAATGCCTCTGCTCCAGTCTATTTTTCTTACCTTAAGTGTCATCTTTGACAATGGCAATTACAGTTTAACGCGCTACCTGTTTGATATGGCTCTATTCTTTCTCCCATTTAAGGTAAATAAAAGGGCGCCTCTTTGACTGGAGTTGTGAGGATAATTAAAATGACACATGTAACTGCACAATTCGGGTTTAATATTGGGTTTTTAACTATCTGACATAACCCTTTCAAAGGCCTGGCATTATCCTGTCACTCGGCGAAAGTACACAGTAGAGGAATATTGTATATTGATTAGGACGGCTGGGAGCAGTGGCAGTCTCAGAGCAGCGCAAGCTCCACTAAAGACTGGCTTATTCTATTTGATGAAGATAAATAAAGTGAAAAACAATGTTGCAGGCAATACTTCAACGCTGACAGCTGGAATCCGCAGATACGAGGGGAATTAATGTAGTGTGCCCAACTCCAAATCTGAGCCCATCGTATTTACAAAGTGGCAGGTTTGACACCGTATGAATAGCAGCCGTGATCAAGAATGCCTTTAATGTCGTAGCCATAATCGACTCCATTATAACTCTCTATGATTTGGTTTTTGACAACTGCTGTCGGGCCACATGCTGCATTCAAAGTCGCTCCGAGAAAGCGCCGCCCGGCTTTGATGTTGACCCGTACATCTGTTTGCTAAGACTTTGGATGTACGTTACAGCTATGGCATGCAAGAGTGTGACTGTAAATAAAATGTGTGAATTCGTCTTTATGGTGCTTATGAAAAAATTACACCCGGAAAAGAAAAAAAAAGAAAATCAAAGAATTCCCGCTTGGCGTCTTTTCATAAATCCAGCACAAGTGCATTCTGAGTGCGGAACCCTCAAAGTCTCAAAGTGCGCACCTGCTCTCTTGCACTTGGAGGAGCACTTCGCGGCTGTAACAGGTATAATCATATTTATTTAACAATCCCGAAGATGCCGTGGAGGAGCGGTGGAGGGGGTAGCAGGGTTGCCGGGGAGAGCCAGAGGAGCGCACGCAGAGGTTTGGAGCTGGAGAGGTAGGTGATGGCCGGAGGGGACTGGCTTACACCCACGGAAGCTGATCTCACGCTAACCCGCTAACCCCAGCTGACTTCTTAGCGGAGTAGCCCTGGGTGACACGTACACGGCCTCCTACGCGGATAATGAGCCAGGACAGCCTCCCTATTGGACGGTAAGTGCCGGCGCTGGCTGCCCGTCTCCCGGATGAAGCCGATCACCTGGATGGCTTCGGGGAGATTGTTTTTTTTTTTTTTTTATATAGTTTTTTTTGTTTTTTTCCGGCGAGAGGTTTGAGTAGGAGGGCATGAAAGGTGCTAGCCGGGGCGCCACTGCCTCGTGGGTACAGCCAGCGCTAGCCGATCCGCGGGCCGACCTTTTGCCTGCCATTGTTCCTGTCTGCGAAGAGTTTAAGCAATTCATTTTTCTATCTCTTGGCAAGCTCGCACCTAAGAACAGACTTTACAACACTTCTCTGCAGAAAGACTTTGGCAAGGTTACAGCCAACTTAAATGGACTTTTTTCTCTCTCCTGTAGTAAATTACAACAGTGACTGGTGGTTTTAGCTAAAATGAGAACATTCGGGATAGCTATGGCAACCACGGAACAAGACTTCTCAAGGAACTGTCACTACAATCGAAGATGTCAAGGTTTTAGATAAGATGTCAGGTAAGAAATGAGAGATTTGCTGCGTAACTTGTACTCATATTTTTTAGTTTTCTACTATGTTGTAGTGTTGGTCCCTTGTAAATGCATGTTTCAGTAATTTAGCAATCTCTCCTAGGCCTTATTATCTGATCACCCCACATTATTTCAGCATTTACTAAGTATGATGTCTTTTATGGTCATCTTTATATTGGTAGATTTTATTTTTCGAAGTTCTGTCACTTGACGTACGCCTAGAAGGCCTTGAGAAACCAGGAACTACTTTTTCTTTTTATAATGTTTCCCCATATTCTACCCCAGTAACCACAACACGCACAAAGAACCCGAGCCGCCATGTTTGGATATTTCTCGCTATCTTGTCCCAGTATAATGGTGAGATCGCGCACACGGGCCAAATCGGGGCCAAGTCGGTGAAAGGACGGTGGCAGAGGGCAAACAAAAGCTCTGAAAGGAGACAGAGAGAAAGAGAAAAAGAGTGAGGGACGGGGGGGAGAGAGAGGAGGAGGAGGAGGAGGAAGATGAATAGTAAAAACTCAGTCAAGTGTAAACCCGACCTGGGACAGTGAGCTGGTCTGGTCAGCGGATACAAGGGGAAGGGGGAGGGGCTTGGGTGACTTGACTTATACGAGGAAAAAAAAAGTTACAATGGAAAAATTGAAAATACAGCAGTTATGTGTTAAAAAATAAAAGCAAAATTCTTAGTCTGCAAATGGTGTCTGTACTATTTC